CAGGGAACTTCAGGCACGGGTCAGGGTAGGGTATTGCTGATGCTGTCACTGACCCTAAGGGCCACCACGCCCACCATGAGGAATACAGCCGTGTGGTGGGGGGCGCAGGGTTAAGGCAGCTGTTGGCGGAGTGGGATGCGTAAGGCGCTGTCGGAATCCGTTGGCACGCGCAGGGTTGGCGGGGCTGGTCCTTAGGGTAGGGTGCGTGCCGCGGACGGCAGGATCCTATAAAAGGACTAGAGCCACCTGCGCGGGGTGATGCGCCCCCACGCGTGCACGCGCTCCACGTTGCCGGTGGAGTACCGCGCTCCCCGGTGCCTGTGTGGTGCTGCGTCCTCGTGCGCACTCCCCTCAGGCACAATCAGTGGCTCCTCTATTGGTCCCCGTGCTGGGTGCTGGGCCCCTCCCAGCTAAGGCTGGTGAGCCGCTGTGAACGGGGAGGTGGCCGTCACTGTCGCCCTGGGGTGGGTGATACGCGCACTGAGGCCGTGCGCCAGTTACGCTGAGTCTCGGGCTTTTGGCCTGGATGGCTTCTTGGTTCTGCGAACCTGTTCCTCCCCTTACGCTGAGTGGCCGGGGACCTTGAGGTCCTAGGTTCCAATGGGTCGAGGGCATCTGGGCCCCAGAGCAGAGCGCGCTGGCCCCATGCGCCCCTGGTACAGAAGGCCGTCCCCGGACGGCTCCAGGGGCACCTGCCCCGGGCTCCAGGAGTGGCCTTTAGGGCGTGATGGTGCACAGCCCTGCAGGGGGTCACGCTGGGGAGGAGTGTCAGGGACACCCGCAAGTGAGGGGGAGGCCATGGGAGGCGGGGGGAGCCCACCTGAACCTGGTCTGCTTGCCTGCAGAAGGACCTCCGGACGCCCGACGTGGTCATCGGAGCGGACACTATCGTGGTGAGTCCCCCCGGGGTTTGCGGAGCTGGGCGTCTTGCGCTAGGGGTCCCACACGCAGGGGCAGCGGGTGTTGCGCTGCTGTGGTTGGGCATGTGCCCTTTCCCAGGGCTGCAGGGACGGTGCCACCCCAGGGCTTCCAGTGCATTCAGTGGCCACCGCAGGTCTGAGCCCGTGTCTGCATGGACGTGGGCGGGGCTTGTGTCCGAGGCTGGGGAGAACGTAGCGCCACGCAGCACGGCTGTTCTGGCCTATGGATGTGCGTCCGTCTCTGCCTTATCATCCCATGGCCATCTGTCCTCTGTGTGGTCTCTGTCCACGTGTCCCTCTTTGTTGGCACAGGGTCTTGCTCACTTCCGAGGCTGGCCTTGAGCTTGCAGTCCTCCTGCCTCGGCCTCCCAGGCTCTGGGTTCCACGGGTGGGCCACCAGGCCTGCCTGGGGTCTCCTTTGAGGGGACCAACAAACACATCCTCGTTCGGGATGGGCACGTGGATATGGCGGTCACCTGAGCCGGTCTCGGTGGCACCCGCCTGTGGCCCAAGCTGCCCAGGAGGCCGAGGCAGGGGCGTGACCAGCTCAAGGGGCGCTGGGCACCAGCAGGACGTCTCCTAGGGCTGGGTGGGGCTCCACAGGGGAGCTCGCCTGGCCTTCGGGAGGCCTGGCCTCCACCCCAGGGCCTGAGAGTCAGGGGCCGTGAGCGCTCAGGTGGCCGGGGAGCGGGCAGTGGGGAAGGCTCAGGTCCCTCTCTTGCAGGCAGTGGACGGGCTGGTTCTGGAGAAGCCCGTGGACAAGCAGGACGCCTACCACATGCTTTCAAGGTGGACGCCCGTTCCCCCAGGCCCCCTGGCCCGTAGGTCCAGCAGAGCAGGCCCCGGCGGGGTGGATGGGGCTGGGGACCCTGCTGGCGGCCTCCTGGGGTGGTGATCCCTCCTGTCCACACGGCGCTTCCCCAGATGTCATTGACCAGGCCTTCCCCAGGGACCCGTGGCTGGACGGTGGGGCAGCATGGCAGGGGCCGGGTGGGGCATGTCGCTGCCCCTTGGCCGCTAAGTGCCCGGTGGGCTCTGGGCCTCGCAGGTTGAGCGGCAAAGAGCACAGCGTGTTCACGGGAGTGGCCATCGTCCACTGCACCACCACAGGTAAGGGGCAGCTGCTGGGCACTGGGTGGGCGGCTCCCTGTCCCTGCACGTGGGGACGGGAGGACTCTGCCCACTGCCCAGGAAGGACTGGCCTGTGGGGAGAGTCGGGCGCCTCTGCACAGCGGTGTCCAGCTCCCTCCAGGTCCAGGGGGCTCCTCCTGCCTCTCCAGC